TTGCTGATAAAGGCTGTAATCTAGTCCTTTCACATTTGAGTTCTGAATGATATATCCAGTGACTCTTTAAATGGCTTCTGTTGTGTGCCCATAGATATTAGGTTACATATTACAGATTAACAGAGTTGGAAGGACCCTTTAGGTCATCTAGTCCAGCCCACTGCCCAAGCAGGGGCCCTACACCATTTCCGACAAATGGCTGTAAAATCTCTTCTTGAAAGCCTCCAGTGATGAAGCTTCCACAACGTCCGAAGGCAAACTGTTCCATTGGTTCATTGCTCTCACTGTCAGAAATTTTTTCCTTATTTCCAGGTTAAACCTCTCCTTGCTCAGTTTCTATCCATTGTTCCTTGTCTGGCCTTCAGGTGCTTTGGAAAATAGCTTGGCCCCCTCCTCTCTGTGGCAGCTCCCCAAATATTGGCACACTGCTATCATGTCTCCCCTGGTCCTTCTCTTCACTAGATTAGCCATGCCCAGTTCCTATTCAAGTCTAAACCTGTGTAAGGAATTATTTCTGCTTTGAGACACTTTGGCAACACCTTTCAAGGCATTCTGTTTGGATTACAGGTGACAACATCATTCCACAATTTTTTTGCTGCTGCATTTTGTCCCATTTGGGGAGGTGGGGGGGGGCTTTGAATCAGTTTTTTGTTCCTGTCAACTGCCTAGTTTTCTTGAAAACTTTCTTGGAATAGGTTTGTTTTTGCCTCCTTCCTAGGCATCAGAGAGAGAGATTGACCCAAGATCACCTTTCCATGTTACTGTCTCAGAGAAAAAAATGTTTATTAAATTCATTTCTTGGTGTGCGTCCTCATCTTCTCTTTGCTTCCACCTTTCCAAATATTCTCCAGAGAAGTATGTCTTTGCATAATGTGTCAAAAGGAGGATAATTTAAGCCTGGTCATTTGTGGCTCGAGTGAGAACTGTGCATTAATTCATTAAAGCATGAAAATGCATCTGTATGCAAAGAGATTTTCAAAAAAATTTCCTTTTTTTGTAGTAAGTTTTTATTTTATTTTATAACATACAAACATTCCAATTTCAATTGAACAGCATGTTGTATGGGTACAAATCATTTTAGGAAATAATAATCACAATATTTACAACAATATTCATTGCATTAATATCAATTATATTGATGTTAATAACCATAATAATCATACTATTTGTTTAACCAAGTTAATGTATCTTCCTTATATCACTAATCCTTTCATATATTCCCCTGTTTCTAGCTCCTGTTTTTGTCAGTTAACTATTGATAAAATAAGTCCCAAGTCAATAAATATTCAATTTCTTCCTTTTCCTTAATTGTGTTAGCTTAGAGGACTTCTGGTGGTGACATCATGATGGTGAGAGGAGAAGAAGAACAGCCTCTGTTCCTCAAATCTATTTCTTTGCATTGGGAGGACCCCTGAGGGATACACAGATCCTGAAGAAATTCATGGCGAAGTGGGGAAACTCGAGGAGCAGTGTGGCCGAGGGTGATCGTCTCTGCAACGAACAGACACCCTTCTAGCTCATTGTGTAAGAGGCTGCCATCCTTGAATGTTGGCCCTGAAGTTGCAACAGCCCAGTTGAAAGAAGGAAGCAGAAGTTTAGAATAACTGACAGTGGCACCGATTGGATTGGGATGTGTGAAGATCGTGGGCAATGAAAAGAGACTGTTCAGAAAGAAGGTTTGTAATCCATGGAGGGCGAAAGAGGTAGGAAGAAAGCAGATTCGAACTCCAAAAACAGCAGTGAATGGGCAGTGGTGAGAGCAATAGCTGGGAGCAGAGGATTCACCCAAGAGAGCAGAGTTTGGTGAATTCGAATGAACAAAGAGACAAAAAGAGATTTGAGACCTTAAAAGATACTTAGACTCAGAAGAAGAATTTGTACTTTTAGGGGATAGACGATAGTTTCCAGACCACTTTCATTTGACAGTGTTAAAGACAGAGAGGAACGGAAGAGGAAGTGGCTGATGTAACAGAGATGATCGGAGTCCATTGAAAAGCAGAAAAAGTATTGCACAGCAAATTTTCTTTTGTGATAAGATAACTAAACTGAGGAAAGCACTATCTAGGGGTGAAAGTATTCAATGAAATGATGAAATGATTGTTGATTGTTGATTGATTGAATCTTGATTAATGAAATAAATTTATATTTATATCATTATATAATTCAATTTTTGAAATATAGAGTTTCGTATAATCAGTAATTTGGGATTAGAGAATTAGAGAGTAATTGTTTATACTAGATGATATTATATATATATAATATTCATATATTTTGTATTCAAATATATTAGAAGGGCGGAACTCTTTAATGAATTAGTGATAACTTTGAAATAAAGTATATAGATTAAAGGACTATTTGAGTATATACTAAGAAGCAAAACTTGAGATATAGAGAAAAGGATTTAAGTAAACGTTTTATAACATATTCTATATAACTTATACATTTCATAAAACTATTATATTTTATAACTTCGTAATAATTTATGATTATTTACGAATAATCGTATAGATTTGATAAGTATTCTATAATAGTGTGATATATAAGAGTTATAAATTTAATTATATAATATAACTAAACTTTGTTATTAGAAGTATATAAGTATGTTAGAAGTATATAAGTTAAGTCTACTTAATTGAAAGATAGAAGCTAGTGATTGAGTTAATAGGAACCTAGAGCTAAATCTAGAGAATTATACATACAAAGCATAAAGGCAAATAAGAATTGAACTAGTGAATGCTAATTTGGGACAACATATATAATATTTTAGAAAAATAGTAAATGATGAATAGTAATGATGAGCATTACCACAATGACATTGAAGGACAGAAAAAAGACAACACCAATTTCATTAATATCAACAGCGGCTGCTTCTCCACTGATACAAAAAACGATTGAATGCTCATGACAGAAAAACAGCGCTCAGTCCCAAACACACCAAATATACAAACTACACTGTTAACAATATAAGAATCAATGATCAAGCTCCAGGAAACGATGATGAAAAACCAAGTTGAAATGAAAGCAGAGATAAATGAAGTAAAATAAGAAATGGGGAAATTGAAAAGTGTAATGAAAACCGACATACATAAACTAGATGAGAAAGTAGGCTTAATTCAGCAAGCATTGGAAAAAAATGAATGTACAATAAAAAGTTGAAAAATGAACAGAACAAGCAGAGAAGAAATTAGAGCTGGTCGACCAAAGGATGAAGACAATAAACAAAGAAGTGGAGGACTCCCTTATCCATCTAGAGATGGATCGTGCACCTTCCTACCTCAGGTTCCAGAATGTGGTGGAAACAAAGGAAGAAGAATTAGTAATGGCTGAAATATTAGCAGAAATCTACAAAGAGACAAAAATGAAATTCTGACTGAAATGGATGACGTTTATAGAGTGAGCACGAATTATGCCAGACAACATTAGTTGCCAGAGGAAGTACACATTAGGTTCACACAGAAAATTTTTTGGGACATAATCTATAAAATGATGACAGATGAACCAATGACGTACAAGGGAAAAGAGACCCAGACATTGAAACAGGTCTCAAGAAGAGTGAGGGAGCAGAGGAGGGACTATAGGTTTCTGGCTATGCAGCCCACCAAACGGAATATTCTCTTTAGGTGGCTAGTCCCAGAAGGGATGTTGGTGACATGGGAAGAGAAGAAATTTTAGATCGATACTTTAGAGAAGGCGCAATAATTTTATGTCCAGCTTGTAGGACCAGAGGAGCAAAGCAGCAAAAATGAACTTGAGTCAAACAGTCAAGAAGAACAACAACAACAGCAACAGGGCAATAAAGAAGGAGACCAGAGTACAGAAGAGAAAGAACAACAACAAGAAGACCTAAAAATGACAGCAAGAACCCAAAGAGACACAAGAGCCAAGAGATGACAAAAACGAAGATACAATTAAGAGGATAGGAGAAGAAATTAAACTATTATCTATAAATATAAATTGATTAAATTTGGCAACCAAGAGAAAAAGAAAATTGGCAAAACTAATTAAACAAAAGGTGGATATAGTATGTTTGCAAGAAACACATATCCAAAAAACAGATGAAAAATATTTAAATGTCTTAAATTAGGAAAACTATATACAGCATCAGCAGATGAGGGGGAAAAAATGGAATAGCCATATATGTTAGGGAGGAAATAAAAACAAAGTTAATTTACATGGATCCCAAAGGAAGAATACTAATGACAGAAATGTGGATAGCCCAAAAACCAGTATTACTAAGTGGTAATATTTGCACCCAATGAAAATCAAAAAGAGTTCTGTAAAAAATTACATGAGAAAATTATAGAAACAGGACAAAGAAATATATGCATTGTAGTCTCCTACAATGCAATAGTAGACTATAAAAAGGACTATAGTAGTAAAAAGAAAAATAAACTGTTACCAAAAATGTGTTTTGAAATGATAGCAGAACTAAATTTAATAGATTTATGGAAACAACTGAATGCAGATAAAAACCAATTCACCTTCTATTCTAACCCACAGCAATCATGATCCTGGATTGATATGGCCTGGATGAGTGGGGAAATAGGAAAAGAAGTGGAAAAT